CTTGTTGACACTCTCAGAGAGTGGCAATAGCTCTTGTTGACACTCTCAGAGAGTGGCAATAGCTCTTGTTGACACTCTCAGAGAGTGGCAATAGCCCTTGTTGACACTCTCAGAGAGTGGCAATAGCGCTACCCAACTATTTTTGTACAGAGAGATTCTCTACTGTTCTCTGCACTGTTTTCTATACTGTTCTCTGCACTGTTCTCTCTGAGAGAACAGTATTCTATTTTCTATGGCTGTTTGTGTGAAAAAGTTATGCGTAACTGTGATTAGTCAAGTGAAATAAACTATGATTGTCCTTATGGAATAGAAGAGTAAATGATAAGTAGCCTTGATCAATATGGTAAATGAGGCTGTGTTTGGAAAAAAACTTTTATTAGATGGGCGCCCACGGGCGCCCATGGATCGGGCTGAGCTGGAAAATTTAGAACTAAAAACCATGGGCTGGGCCGGTAAAGGACGACATAGCCCACGGGTCAACTTTTGCCGGCCCAGCCCGGCCCATTCGAAGCCCTGATGTCTCTGACGATCAATCGTCCTTGAAAAGCAAATGTGAGTTCTACATCGTAAGAGTAAGGGACTGCGTTGACTAGGTTTTTTCTTTTGCATCTCCAGGTCATATAGGTGTGTAACAGCATCTTCATGACTGAGACATTTTTCTCTTCCTTACGAAATAACATGACACATAAAATAAGTATTGCACAACGTCTCGTATTTTTGTTCGGAGTATAAAATATATATGAATGCATCATCTTTTCTAAAGACATTCTGTTTATTATTTTACTATCAAGCAAATAATCAACTATTGAATTCCATTAAAAGTAAGTTCAATATAATTTTGAACTTGTTATCTATATTTGTCATAATTTTAATTCTAATCTATAACGTAAATATGACTACTGATAATGAATTGGCTACTATCGAAATTCGATGTATTCCAGATAATCCATGTGCCATTTCTGGTATCTTGAATACAAAAAAAGTTCGTTTCGACATCGAAACAAAAAATAAAGGAGAAACAATGAAACGAACACCACTCAATTTAGTACTTGTTCTTGATCGTAGTGGATCGATGGAATCTGATAATAAATTTACATTTGCAAAAAACGCTGTTGTTTCTGTTCTTAATCTTCTTCACGATGACGATATAATTCATCTTGTTGCATATGACAGTGATGTATCTATCATTTTTGAAAATGCACGAGCATCTTCTCGTCAGCATCTTTATCCTGTTATCCACAAAATTCAAACTGCTGGTTCAACAAACATGTCCGGCGGTATTGATGTAGGTGCTGCTCTTCTGGATAAATATGTATATAATGGATTTTCACGTCGTATGTTTCTCTTTTCTGACGGACAAGCTAATGTTGGAATGAAAACACGGGCTGAATTAACAAATCTCGTTCTTGGATATAATGATAAAGGTATTGTAACTGATGCATTTGGTATTGGTGCTGATTTCGATAGTGAAATTATGAAAGGTATTGCTGATGCTGGAGGATCAAGATTTTACTTTCTTGAAAGAGCTCAAGTGATTGAACCACTTGTTGCTAAAGCCGTTGGAAGTGTATTTGGTGTATGTGCATCACAAGCTCGTCTTATTGTACGTGGTAAAAATGGAGCTGTTGTTACGAAAATATGGGGTCATGAAGATATTGTGGCTGGTGCAAGCCTTGGTGATCTTCATTCACCCAATCTACGATCAGTTCTTTGTGAGTTTACAACTTCTGGTACAGCGAACGCTGATGGAACCGAAATTGAAACACTTACATATGAATTACGATATACTCGACCAAATGATCCCAATGGTGAACCTACACTGATCAAAAATACTTTATCATTAAAATTTACAGAAGATGAATCACTTGTTACGGAGATTGATCCTCGTGTGAAAACTATGCTTGCATCTCAAACAGCTGCTGAGGTAGATAAAAAAATCGCACAATTAGTCGGAGATGGTAAACGAAATGAAGCTATTGATGTTGCTGCTGAACAAATTGCACTACTTAAAGATGTTGAACAATTTGATGATGAAAGAGGATCCATTTCATTGTTACTTCGACTGGCTGAAAAAATGCATAAGAAGCTTAAAGATGAAACCGTCAATAGTAAGCTGGTTTGTCGAGGGTACGAATATCAAGCTTACTTAAAAAAAGAATGTGATGAAGAGGATATGGGAGGTTTTGGTTTGTTTGACTAATTAAAAAACATCGGAAGGCTTTTTTATAAGAATAACATGAAACAGTTTTATTATATTTTTCTTTTAAACATAAAAACTAAATGTACAGGGAAAAGTATTCCATCTTTTCGTGAAAGCTCAAGAGGATGGCAGTAGTTAGGTATCTAGATAGATTATTTAATGAGAATTTAGATACAGAATATGACATCTACCTCAGATGTACAGATTAAGAAGTGTAGGTGGAAAGTATAGATATATAGCATAAAGAGTAGCGTAATGATAGGATATATTTTGTTTTATTTTTGTTTTGTGTCTAATGATGAATAATATGGACATCAAAGTTGTAGGAAAAGTTCATAGCGTTTTGAACTCGGCTGTGGTAAAATTACTGTTCTTTATCTAATTGAGCATATCAAAAAGAAAAGTATTGTCTGATTTCTCGATCTCTTCGTGTTTTCTAGTATACTCAAAGGTATAATCTATTATCAACACGATAAAAATTCATTTACTTGCCATAAAACGGATGTTCGGAATGGATTATGTCACATGACAGAGTCATAAAAGATGGATGTTCGTAAAAGAAACTACCGGGTGTTCGGAACGCAAACATAGGGATGTTCGGGACAAAACAAATGGTGTTCAAAACGGACTTAAATATAAAGCTGTAGAGAAAGGAAAGAATTAGCTTCATTCATGAAGTATGACATCCTTAACTCTCTAGATGACGTTGCGTAATAATGATTAGAAGAAACAGACCTATTCTCTTTGAATAGGTCTCATGATCTCGAAAGCAAAACCTCGAAAGTGGAAAATCTCGAACGCGAAAACTCGAAAAAATAATAATATCAGCCACTTTGATGAACAGCCAACACAAAATGCGAATTTGCCTTCCGCCTATTGATCGTTGATTATTTTACTCGGCGGTTGCATACATAGGTCAGTTACGAACATTCGTCTATTGTTTCGAACATCCCTATATTTTCATTCCGAACATCCGGTAGTTTCTTTTACGAATTTCCGTTACAATTATCTAGTTCCACACATCGAAATGTGCGTGTTTTTGCCGTTCTGAACATCCGTTAAAAATTTTTACGAGCATTCGTTTTTTTTCGATAATTGTTCCGAACACCCGTATTTTTCTTCTTATGAACATCCGATATTTTTATCTTAAAAGTGATGATTTTTGGAAGAAAAACGGATGTTCGCAAACGGACTACGACATTGGATGTTCGGAATGAAAAGTAGTGGCGAAATGTCTAAATGCCTATTATTTGATATTACGAAACCAGCATCTATAGGTAAATGAAGAATATAGAAAAAAAGGACATTAAATATGAATATTTTATTTATGACAAAAGAGAAACTATCAGAAAAAGCTTAACGTTTATTTTTTTTAAACCCCCCCCCAAAATAGAAGGCCACCCTATATTAGAAGGGCACCCTAAATAGAAGGCCACCTCAGAGGCAATTCTGTAAAATCCATATTAAAAGGCCATGGCCTTTTATTTT